CCCGGCGTGCTGCCCGCTGCTCCGCCGCACCGCGGGGACAGCGTGTCGTAGCCAGCCCGGGCGCGGGTCAGGGCTGCCCTCCTCTGGGTCTGGGAGCCCCGGGGAACCTGTCACACAGCGGGGAACCGGGTCCCTAGAGAGGGCAATTAGCGCTCGCCAAGCTGCCTGGGGAGCCCGGCGTGAGGGGCGCAGAGGTGCCCCCTCGGATACCAGTGAGAAACCAGTGGTCATCAAGGACAGGACTGGAAAATAGTGGGTTCTCTTTCACATAGACGGCTTACTCAGTATCCCAGGCCCGTTCCCAAGTCTGCTTTATTTCTTTCTTGGACAAATTACAGCAGGTGCGCTTTGGCCAGAACGAGGCACTGTGAATTTACGTGAGGAGATCAAGTTAAAAATGAGAGGAAAGCAGTTATGTGCCTGCTTCTTGCTGATACCTTCTGTATATTTTTTGATACAAATGGAAGCAGAAGCCTTTCTCTTGCAGGCCGTTTGAGTTTAACCTTGTCATGGTCAGAGTTTGGTTTAGGTGTGTTAAGTTTGAGAATCACGTGTGTTGTTAGCAAGGAGTGTAATAGACTCACATTCTGGCCAGTTAGCCTGACGGCACCAACGATGTGTCGTCAAAGCCTGAGCAGGAAAATTGTCGCAGAAAAAGCCTCCGAATACCATGAAAACTAACAAAAGTATACCGAGGAGGGTGAGTGCAATAAATGAAAGTTTTTTCAGGCCTTTAATTTGTATTTCTTTTCTTTTCTCTTTTTTTTCCTCTCGGCCCAGGGATTTGTTTTAAGGAACATGGAGGAGTGAGCTCCCTGCAGTTTCTTGAGTTTCCCATCTATCTGATTTTGACATGATCAGATGTTTGGTGGAAGATGTGCGAGCCAGGCTGCGTTCTGGGGTGACTATCAACTCACTGGGGCAGTGTGTTGAGGAGCTTGTCCTCAACAGCATCGATGCCAAAGCAACATGTGTAGCTATCAGGGTGGATTTGGAAGCTTTTAAGATCCAGGTGGTAGACAACGGCTCCGGAATGGGGAGAGACGACTTAAATGCCATGGGAAAGCGGTACTTCACCAGCAAGTGCAGCTCAGTGGGAGACTTGGAGAACTTGATGTTCTACGGCTTTAGAGGGGAGGCTGTGGCAAGCATAGCCAACATGGCCAGCGTAGTGGAAGTTTCATCTAAGACCAGCAGGACAGCAAAAACGTTTGTGAAATTGTTTCACAATGGGCAAGCACTGGAAGTCTGCGAAGCTGAATTGAGCAGACCAAGTGGCGGAACTACAGTGACCGTGTGTAATCTGTTCCATCAGTTACCAGTGAGGAGAAAGTGTATGGACCCTGTGTTGGAATTTGAGAAAGTGAGACAGAAAGTAGAGGCTATTTCGCTGATGCATCCCTCTGTTTCACTTTCTTTAAGGAATGACACTTCTTGTTCTATGGTGCTTCAGCTCCCAAAGACAAGAGATGTGTACTCTCGGTTTTGTCAAATTTATGGACTGGGCAGATCGCAGAAGTTACGAGAAATAAATCATAAGTCTGGGGGATTTGAGCTAAGCGGTCATATCAGTATTGAAGGACATTACAACAAGAATATGCAGTTCTTGTATGTGAATAGAAGGCTTGTTTTAAAGACAAGACTACATAAACTAATTGATTTTTTATTACGAAAAGAAAGTGTCATTTGCAAGGCAAAAGGTGTCCCTGTGAGCAGACAGACTAGTACAAGTCCTGGTCGCCACCGTTGTGGCCCAGAGTTGTATGGGATCTTTATTCTCAATGTGACCTGTGCATACAGTGACTATGATGTGTGTCTGGAACCTGCAAAAACTCTAATTGAGTTCCAGAACTGGGATGATGTTCTAACTTGTGTAGAGGAAGGAGTGAAAATATTTTTGAAACGAGAACATTTATTTATTGAACCATGTAATGAGGACATCGGAGAATTTAATGGCTTTTGTTTGCCTAACGCTCCAGTTCCGAAGCCCTCACTCTCTGATGAGAAAAGCATCCAAGACGCTTTTAAGAAAGCATGTGACGAAATTGTGGATTCCTATGAAATGCATAATTTGCAATCAAAGGATGTCAAAAGGAAATCCGGGACTGGAAAAAAATCTTCAAATCTTACAGAGTCAAATAAAAATCTACAGGAAACTGAAATCGCCCCAAATCAGAAGACTGCCGAACCATCTGATCCATGTAGAAACAACAAAGTGGAGATTCCACTGCCCAGCAAAGATGACACAGCTTCTGATTTCATGACATCAAATATCTCAGAGCAGGAGCCAAAAGACACCAACAGTTCCCAAAAAGCATCTGATACTCATCTGAAACCTTCAGAAAACCGCCGTTCCTCTTCTAGTGGAGGGGCCAGATCAGAAACAAGAAAAATAGACAGTTGTGGTGACCTGCAGCATTGTGCAGAGAATTACATAAAAGATGGGGGAAGCCAGCAAGGCAAAGTAGTGCAGAAAGGCAATATGGTCCGTATCTTAAATAATGATGCTGTTCAATCTCTGTCTGAGCGAGAAGACCCTACTGAAACAGCAGTGGGACTGGAAACTGTCTCTGGCAGTTCATTGATGAGACTGTGTCATGCAAGAGGAGATGGTAAAGCAGTTGAAGTGATAGATGATGCTGGGAGAGGGGCTGTTAGTTCAATACCATTAAAACCGTGCTCTACAGGCCTCGTAACGCATGTTACGCAAAATGAGCCCTCACGTGAATGTGAACAAACAGAAACAAATCTTGCATTAAATGTGTGGTGCAGACCTGGCCCTGTCAGTGCCAAGGATATTTTTGGCCACAAAGTGAATTTTCCGATTCAGTCTTTAAATGCTACAGATCTTTCTGGTAATACAAATGAAGAATATACACCTCCTTACACCAGAGAAGTATGCATGGCTGATGGTAATGAGCAGTTAGAGAACAAAACTTTGTCAAATCAGGTTGGTGAGGGGATAGCTATGCCTATTGCCACCAGTAAAAGACATCATGAGATGAATGTTACAGAATTGCCGCTGGCAACTTCTTCAGGTATTCCTCACAATAAAGTTAGAAAAAGCACTAGAAGACAGATAGCTGTGCCAAGATCTCAGCCCTCTAAGAAGCTGAGCTTGTCCTCACAGCTGGGTTCATTAGAAAAGTTCAGGAGATACTATGGGAAAGTCAAGTGTATGCTACCACCACCATTGCCAGAGCAGAGTGAATTTGGTCTCCAGGTTTTTAATTCACAAGCTAATTGCGACTTTTCAAAGAATGAAAATGACAACCATGGTAGTGCTACCGCTTGTGAAACTCCAGCTTTGGAAGATACAGATGCTAATAGTAGTAGCCCAGTTTTTGGTTCTTTGGGAGAGACTTTATTCTGCAGTGGAGAAACTTCACAGGACAAACGAGCCCTTTGTCAGATTACATTGTCTGATTACTCTCAGGTTAGTAAAAACAATACAAGTTGTAAAAGATCTCCAGGATCATTATCATCCAAACTGTCCAGAATGAAAAGCGACTGCAGAGAAGTAGAACATCTTGGTGAACAATTCCAAACAGATTCAAGTAGAAAAGAGGACTACTGTTTTGCTCTTGAATCTTCAAATAATGATTTTTTGTATGATGCTTGTCAAACATATCAATCCTCAGTGGAAAAAATGAGGGAATGCAATTACAGCATTTCTAAGGGGGATGCATGCTTGCAATCAGATGGTACGAGAGCACAGTCCATGAAAAGTACGGTCAGTCCATCACCACTCAGCAGCATAGAAGGGGAGTACACAGTCTCTTCAAGCAGTGTTTTTTCATTACCAGCTAAAAAGGACTGTACTAACGTCATAAGTAAAGATAAAAGTACATTAGATGAATCCTCAGAACAAAATATGAAAGATACTGAGGTTCCCCATACGACCTTCCCAAGTAACTTGGAATTCTCAGCAGACAACACAAGCACAGGCAATCCCAGGAATGATTTGTGGTGTTCTGACTGGCTGCAAGATTTTGATGTTTCGTCGGGTAAGACAATATACATCAATAAAGCAACCGGACTGAGCACCTACAGCACTCCTCCTACTGAAGGGTTTAAAGCTGCCTGCATTCAAGATATAACAACAATGGCTGTGAATGTTGTCTCAGAGAATGGTAAGTGGGGGGGTGGTGGTGGTTGTACAAATGGGATGTGTTCTGCTAGGTGCATAAAATATCTTGCTGACAGCACCTGATGGTTTATACTGAAATATCCACTGCCTTACTTGTAATAGCTGTATGAAAAAAGGGAAGTGTTGGAGACTATGGAGACAGTAACACATTAACATTCAAGATACTGAAAGATAGTTTTTAATAAGGCAGTAAAAAAAAAGTCAGCCTTATCAATTAACAGGCAGCTGCTTGCACATCATGACATTTACTGCAATCACAGTTATGTATCATTTTTGTCATATATAAAGTGAGGGACACACTTTAAAGTAAGTGTACAAGAAAAATTTTGTGGGTTTTAACATTTTGTCCTAACTGCATACAAAATTTAAAACAACCCTCGAAAAATGAACAAAAATCTGACTTTTTCATTGAGAATGTGTAGTCTCCTTTCTCCAGATTTTGGAAGGCTGTTCCTTCGTACTTTGCTTTGTAGAAGATGTTGTACAGCATTGTTGATGGTTTGATGATGGAGCTTTTCCAGGGGGGACAGGACACTACATTGTATTGTTTTTTTCAGCGGTGTGGTGTTCATGAGTCTTCATTGATCTGTCTGTCAGGTTTGGCTTTCTGTGGCCTCCTGATCCGGCTCGGCAGAATAATATCATCTTTGGTAATTTTCCTTTCTGTGGATATATCCTTGTTCAATGTTTTTCCTCGTTCTGTCTATAGGCAGATTTATGAGTGAAGATGCAGCCATTCGTCACGTAGACCATATTTTCTACTGTATAATTTGCTTTGAAAAAGTAGTTTGGACTTCTTTCTAGATAATTCTCCCATGCAATATTTGTCTAATCAATCATGATAGCCTGTGGTTTGTTCTATTTTTGTCTGTTACTTCCTTCTTTATCACCAGTCATAGAAAAACAGGTGCAATAAGTGTTGTGGTTAAGCTATTGCCTTTTAAGTTTCATAATTGATTCCAGTAATTCTTAACATCTGTAGTGTTCCACTGAAGTAAATTTGTTACAAGGAGAAGAACATCTCTGTTTTTATTAGGTGAAATTACTTGCAAGCACAAATGTACACTCCTTGACTAACACTTTTCATTTCTGTGGCTTACCCATTTCGGTTGCCCACAGTGCTGTTGAGCAGCCAGCCAAAGCACTGAGATGTGGAGCTTGACTTTCTATCCAAAATGTTTGGATAGTGCATTCACGTTAATGAAGAGAATGCATCACATACCCTTATGCTTTCAGATTATGTATGGTCTGTGCTTTTTGAAGACTTACATTGTCTTGTGTCTTTTTACCTCCAATGGCATTGTTCCTTCTTAGCCTTATCATTGGTGTTACTCTCCATCCTATCTATGGTGCCACTCTTTCTTAACTCTGTCAATGGTGTTATTCTTTGGTGGGATGTCTACTGCAGCTTTTTTGCTTTTCTTAGGTTGAAGGTCAGACCTCTCAAACCTTCACAAGGTGTTTGGATTCTGGTTAGACCCTATGAATCTTAGATTTTCAAAGTTCAACAAACATGTTCTTTCTCACTTTTTTCAAGCAAAGTTTATTCATTCTTTTTAGTCATAGGAATAAGCATAGCTGTGTCCTAACACAGCATTCATATCTTTTGCTGTTGAGCACTGTTTTGGACTGCTGTTAAGACCCAGGAGTGGAATAATTTCTTCACTTGCTATGTATGCTTTCATTTTGCTTTTTAGAGTAGTGTCTGTAACCCCATGGTGTTGACTTAGAATTTCATAACCCCATGATTTATTAAGAACAGCATCTCGTACACAAATTTAGGGAAATTACACTGCTTGGTGGCAGGTGGAAGGAGGTAAGAATAATTATCCTCTTTTCCATGGCAGCAGTGGCCATCTGCTATTTTTTCCAGTCACATGCCATGTGCACAACAGAAATGCTAGTTTGAAGGCTAGACTCAGGCATCTTTGTACTGATTAAACTGATTGCTACATGAAAATTTATCAAGCTTCGTTTCACCATCAGGTGCCTTTTTGAATAATTTAATGCTATGCATTTGTAGTGGGTTAACATCCCAGTTCAACTTGGTCTTCATTGTTATGCCAGCTATGTTTGCATTTTTTGTTACTTTTATTACATTATTGACTGATATGTCATTACACCAGTATGTTTTAATGATCTAATTGAGGCAACTGAAAATGAGTACTCAGGTATGGTAATTGCATGTGGTTTGCGTGTATAAAGTAGATACATCATTACCCTCAGCACCTTTTCTGATGTTACTTGTCAGAAAAATCATATTAATAGTATCTCTGCCAGCTCTGAATTCTCACTGGCCTTTGGGCAAGAAAATCCTGGCTTTATGAAAAACGTATGTCCTGAGCAAGGATTTTCCCTAAAGCAAGAAGCAGGGAAATTAATCTTTGTTCATGATTCTATGTATAAAATATTGGACTTCTGTTCAGATAGATGATAGATGCTTCTGTGAACTTGAGGAGTAATATCTTTCAACGATAATAGCTATAAAAGGTCTGTCAAAGTCTGAATTAGGTAGCATTCTTCAACTCACCAGGAACCATGTCAGGCCATCTTGTTCTCTGTTCTGTTTTGTGACAATGGGATGCTGAGTTACTCTCCCATGCTGGGCTGCCAGTTTGTATTCTTGAAAGGATTCTCGGTCCCCAGAGTAGGGCCATCATTGGTCCTTGCTGGAACGGAGCCAGCAGTCAGGAGTCTATGGACTGGCCTAGGATCTCATAGAGCCTTTTCATACGCAGCTTATCAGCATGCAGCTGGTTTTCTTTGGCGTTATCACTTTGCCACTCTTCCTGAATGCACACCCTTAATTTCTTAGTAGAAAGGAACTTTATTAATTCATTATTATTTCACAAAGAATAGAAGTCTGAATTGTACCAAAGGAAGGGTGAAATGTTTACCACTGTACTGGAAATCTGAGCCACTTTTCTTAATAATCTTGATAACACTGCTGGTTTGTAATATCATTAAATCATTTCTGGGTGGGTAGGAACATGTTGTTAGGCTTAGTCTGATATCTCATGTGGTCTCACTGACTTGTAGTTCTCAGTTTTACAAGTTCCTGATAACTGTATTGAGTATTGATAGGAGTGGTGATTGACAGTTTTGCCACACCTTAACAGAGGGAAGTCAAAAGCGTTTTGATGTCTGACAGACTTTACGCCTTCTCTTTCCTTTGGGAATAACACTTCTGATTGCACTGATTCTGGAAATAATTCTTATGGGATTAAAGCAGCAGCCAATTTTTAAGAAGGGCAGTCTAGCAGAAGCCATGGTAATATTTTAAAACAATACATTTCCTGATGTGTGTGTCTGGTAATTCTCAGCTTTTTACATATGTGCTGTTATTTCTCAATGTTAGGTCGCAAAATCTGTGGGATACTCTAATTTGTATGGGGCTAAGCACATGCTTATTTATATAATAATTGTATAGCTTTTTGTAATTTTGCATGCTGTTGAAACTGCAGCAGTAAATTTATATTGTGTTTAGGGATTCAGTTCAGGTGCCATCCTTTTAGAAGTGAGATTGTGCTACCCTTCCTTCCTAGACCTCGAAAAGAGAAGACTCTAGCAAGCCAGGATCTGAGAGGTAGGGCCAGCTTTCCAGGACACAGTGTTCTGTGGTAAAAAAAAAAATCAAAGAATTCTCCCAGATGTCCCAACAGGAACCCAGAATTACTCAAGGTCTGTTAACAATGGGACCGTGTGAGTCATCTCGAATCTAGAACTGGAAAAAAAAATCTTTTAGGGTTGAAGGCAGGTTAGGGGATACTTATTTACAGGATGAAATACCCAGTTCTTTGTTGAATTATGTCAGTAGTTTAAAGAATAATTACCTACTCCCTTCTTTGTACTTGTTCCAACCTTGGAATGTGAAAAATAGCTTCAGTCCTCACTTTTTTTTTTTGCCGTGGAAAGGATGAAATCATCTTTTTGCTATGTGGCTTTGTCCAGAGGGAGTGGGTAGCTAAACAGGTCTTTCTGTCCCTCCTGCCCCCCCTCGCCCCCCCATTTCCAGGGCCTGTTGAATTGCGCTGCAACATGTTTAGGAGTCGGAGAGCTGCACAGTGTCCTTCCCAGTTAAAGCAGAGAATAGAGAAGCCCAGTCTCATGTTCCATTATTTATTTCTACGTTTTCCCCTTTTTGTGGTAGAAAAAATTGAAGTAATACTTGTGCGAGGTAGAGGTACTCAGCACACATTCTACAGACACATGGTGGTAGTCCCTCTATTACCCATGTATTCTTTTCTAGGTGCTGAAGGGGAGTCTCTCCAGTCGTTGCTTTCAGAGTGGGATAATCCTGTTTTTGTTCCTTGTCCGGAGGTAAGTATTATCTTGCATCTCATGCTAAAATAGGAGTTAGTTTAGCCTTCTGTTATTTTATGACATGGAGATCAAAACTGCAAATATTGTAACCATTATTCAGCGATATATTAAGACTATAGACCTGACAGTTATGTGGTTTTATTTACTGTTTATATGTATGTCATTGTTGTGGATGTATTCAAAGTCAGAGAAGCAGGTATCAGGCTAATCTTTTGCCTTGTCATTTCAAAAGCAAAACATTATTGTAAGCTGTCTTTCCCTCTACAGAGATCGTCATCTTAAAATTAAAAGTTATGGGATAGCAAAATTGTAATACAGCATCTGTCCTCTTTGTGGACAGAGTTATAATAACCCAGCTTTCTTCTCTGGGATGCAATGGGTCTTAAAAGTGTATTTTACTATACTTGTTTTTATAGTCTAACAGGATTATAGCATGTGAGAGGGAAACAATGTGGGAGCTTTTAGAAAAACTTCCTTTGTTGTCATGAGGCAGCATTATCTTTAATCATCATGTTGTGTGTGTGTAAACATACGTATGTAACCATTTCCACTTGCAAACAATAGAGACGGAGCAGCAAACCACCTGCTGGTGAGTTTCTGAACAGGAACAGTTCTGTTCAGTTGTTGCTGTGATGTGTACTCTGACTCATTTCAGGGTAATACATCTTTTGTAATGCAATCCACTGAGAGCTCACGTAGGCTGATAATTAATTTCAGGTTTTCTGATAGGTACTTGAAATCAGCTGAATGCATTGAAGTTAGCAGGTAATATCCAGTTGGGAAATTCTATGAGGATGGAAGCAAAGGGGTTGCCGGATGGTATCTTTAGCTAGTGCTATTCTTGTATAGAAAGCTTGGTTTGTCAAAATACAGAGTTATTTCCAGTTTTGCTTAAAGCTGGTTTGTTGGGGTTATTTTGTGTATGTTTGGGGGGGGGTTGCCATGCCCTTTATAGCCTGCTTGATCTGTAATTCTGTTTTTACAGATTGGCGTTGATGTGACCAGCAGTCAGGCTGACAGTCTGGCTGTGAAAATTCATAACATCTTGTATCCTTATCGTTTCACCAAAGACATGGTTCATTCAATGCAGGTACAATATGATCTATTACTTGTTTTCACCCCCAAATTCCCACTCAGCTGATGGATTTTGTTGATGTTTCTGCTTGGTGAGAAAGGGGTATCCGGGGAAATAGTTCATATCCCCAATTTTCACAAGCACAAGCAGAATTCTTAGTTGCTGTGTGATACCAGCAGACATGTATGTCATGCCAGACCTTAGTACCGTGTCACGGTTAATCAGCTATCTGTGAGTGACTCTAAAATTCCTTGACTGTATGGTTAAATCCAATCAAGAGACAGCCCTATTACTGCTGCTTAGAAACACTGTTAACTAAATGATATTTCAGTGGGCAGTTTTTTATATTTATTGTAGGCATTTGCTTAGTTCGTATTCCTCTGTGTCCTGTATCTTCCATTTTTATTGACCTTAGAAATGTAATTCTTCAGCAGAGTGGTTTCAAAAGCAAATCACAGGTTTTGTGGAAAGAGTTGAAATTTCACTTTAAGAATTACGTCTGCTCTGAAAAGTGATTCTTAAAAATGGCATCATCGCATCAAGTTTATCTGTTTCAGTGCTGCTTTATCAAATGTTTTGAATGTTAGCTTAAAAGCTACTGTAAATGTATGACTTCAACTAACATTCTTTGATGGTTTGCCTGGATAAAAATGCCAAAGTGGATTCTCTCCCTCTCTTGTATCCCAATGACAAAAGGCTTACAGGCCCAGTTAGCGTTATTCTCATGCAATCAGGATCCAAATGATTCCCTTACTTATGTTGTGTGTGCAAGAATAACAGGAGTAAATAAAGTGATTACAGTAAACAGATTATGTTTCAAAAGGCCAGGAGAGGAAAGTTGGAAGATAGAAGGTACCATTTTTCTGTTCACTCCTCATAAGAACTGTTCTTTAAAATTTACTGAGTGGTTTTGTGATTAACTTTGCCTACGTAATGTTTTCCTTTATATGTTTTTAAGAAGGTAAAGCTAGAAGAAATTACCACTTCCCATCTCTGAAGAAGCTAAATACTGCATTCAGTACCCTGTAGCAATTTTGAAAATCTCTGTAGAAAAGACCAAAAGCACAAAATACTGCATCGTGCCACAGGACAAGAATAAAAAGAATCATTAATGTCTTTCATCTCTGCAAAGAAATAGGATCATCTGTTCATTTTTACCTAGGAGGTGAACAGTGCACGTGTTGTGAGACAGGGAATTCAGAGTGAGCCCTATCTCTGTGACTTGGGGAGAAGTTCCTCCCTAACACCACATCTGTTAATTTAAATTTAACAATAGGATACTGAAAGCATTGTGCATCCCTGCTCAGTATTCCCTATAGCTCTGGTTGATTTCTGATGCTTGAGGGGAAGGTGGAACCCAGTCACAGAGGCAAATTCCGCATCAGGAAATGAGGAAAAAAAAATGCTTCCTGGCTCCTACAGGTGATCAGCACAAGTTGTTAAACACAGGGCAGGTTAAAAAAGGTTGTTTACATTCTCTTTTGGTGATATCAGCAAATCAAATACTCAGAGTCGCTGTGCACAGCTTTAATTTCCAACTCAGGGAGGCTTCTACACAAGCATTTAATCCATTCTATAAATTTCCAGCTCCACCTTAGAACAATTGGAGCTCTTGCCCTTATGACTCTCTCTGAAGAAATTGATCCAGAATTATTTTCTTGGATATTTTGAAACTTTCTCTTAGTTCCAGACTAAACTGTTTCATGACCGATTTATGGTCATTTGACCTTCTGCCAGTATTGTCTTTTAGCTTAAATAATTGCTGCCTTTTCCATATTTAGCCCCTCACTGTATTTATAAAGCATAATTATATACCTTCTCAGTCTCAGTTTTGCTAGGCCAAATTCTTTAAGCCTTTGGAATTGGAAAAGATGTGGTTTCCACTCCCCTAATCGTCCTACTACCTATTAGTTGCCTTTGATCCATTTTGAATGTCTTCTTTTGTTTACCTCTGTTTCAAAAATAATTTTACTACTGGGTAATAATTTTTCTGAGTATCTTGCAGGTTCTTCAGCAAGTAGACAATAAATTCATCGCTTGTTTAATCAACACTAGGAATGAAATGGATAAAACAGCAGGTAAGAGTGGTTAACATGAAGCTGAGGTGGCTGTCAAGCACAGTTAGACTGCAGAGGGAACACTGTCTTGTTTGTATTCTCTTCTTGCCTTGGGATGATATTGTGAATAGAGGAAAATGTTAGTCTTCACTTGAAATTTCCTGGATCTTCTTTATCTTTATTTTGGACATTATTGAATGTTCCTACTGCGTTCAGATTAGTGTTATAAAAATAGATTGTACTCAAATTACTAACATCTTTCAGACTCTGTTCACAGTGTCTGGATATATTCATTGCTGAAGCTGTACAAAAAAGGCATTCAAAACCAGTAGTTTTCGTAACATTTTTAAAAACTGTATTAAACAGAACAGTTTGTGGGTGGCCTCAGCTCTCATTCTGAAGTTAGATGAAGATGTCAATAGACAAGAGTTTCTGACTCAATCTAATTACCTTAATTTAAATGCCAGTTTGGATCACTGAATTTCTGTTCTGTAGTGACTTTATGTTCTGCCAACACAGCCTCCTCCGCACTTCATTTCTGTAAAACTGGCTGATAGTTACCTTCTTAACTGTGGCCTCTACAGAGTGGTCATTCTTCCCAACCTGTGCAGTTGTCTGGTACAAAGTCACCTCCTTCTCATCTCTTGTGGTACATTTTTAGATGGAAACCTCTTGATTTTGGTGGACCAACATGCAGCTCATGAACGGATCCGCTTGGAGCAGCTTATTGCAGGTGAGGGTTCAGATGGTCTTAGGAAGAAAGATAATCGGTGCATAGAAAAGTACAAATGAGCTGTCTGAAAGGGAAAGCTTGCTTGCTAACTTGTCATAAGGATAAATCTGGGATATATGGAACCAATAGGATATTCATTTGTCGTCTTTATCCTGATCCCTAGGAGAGTGCAGACATTCAGTATCTGTAGCAGTCATCTGAAAATTGTTACAGTGTTTCCAAAAATAGAAGATACACTCCTTACCCACAGAACTATCGAACTAAAATAGTCCTGACATAATGAAGGAGCAGGAAGACTGATAGGAAAAACAATGAAGAGGAAATAGAACAACATCAATAAGATTATGTGGTTATGCAGTGAAGAATAAGACATAGGATGCAGAGTAAAGAGCATAGTTCATTCGGTTCCTTTTTAGCTGAATACTGTGCTTAAAGCCTAAAATTTCCACAATCTGAAACTGTTTGCAAAGGGATAATGGTCTTCTCTGTAAGCTCATTAGCCATTGGTTTCAGTGTTAGAAAGCACAATAGCCATCCATCAAGTACTTAAAAATCATTGACCTTCTCTTTCATCAACAAATACTGCGCAGAGAGAGTTCCAGGAACTCTGCTCCTTTTGGTCAGGTACTGAAAAAAGTTAAAGACTGGAAGGAGAAATGCTTAATGAATAGTATTTTAATGCCATTTATATCAGACTTTTCTGTGGAAAAATTGTTCTTTGTTAGTTGGACTAAATATATCAGTAGGGTTTTTTTGCTATTTAGGGTGACTCTTTTTTGGAACTGGTGGGAAAAAACAAAGTGGCATTAACCAACCCTTCCCTAGAGACTCGATGTCTGGTTTGTGACATTCCCAGTCCTCCACAAGTTTCAGAAGGCATTCTGTGGTCACTTTTTAATCCAAACAGAAGATTACATGCCAAACCATAGGGTCATTAAGGGTAATGCCTGCGTAAATATTCTAAGAGAGGATACTTCTAAACGATTCATTCACAGATTCCTATGAGAAGGAAGCTGCAGCATGTGGCAAGAAGAAATTACTGTCCTCCTCCATCTCTCCCCCTTTGGAGATTGAAGTTACAGAAGAACAAAGAAGATTTCTACGGTTAGTAATGGCCAGTAGCTCTAAATTTTGGGGATGGCTCTGCTGACAGGGAAGATGTCTGTATATTGCTAGGTTACCATGAAGCTCAGGAAAGAAGCTGTTGTTTCTTCCCTGAGCTGAGACCAGTTGGCTATATCTGTGCTGAGGAAAATAGGCATGCTTCTCAGGCACGTTGTTACAACATCTCAAGACAAAACCCTGTGGTGTGCCATCTCTGTGCCTCTGCAGTGGGCTCTGGTGTCCCTGGGAAAGTAAACCCTCACATGTGTGCAAGGAGAGTGCCAAAGCTGTCTCCGACACATCCTACTGCCTGGGGCTCAGGACTTGGGAGTGCACACCAGAATGCAGTGCCCATAGTGTCAATCTAGTCACTGATTTAACTGGCACTGTTGGAGAACAGCAGGATGGGGTATGGAAAGTTTGTATTGTGAATCCTTCAAAAATGCATTCCTTAATCGTAGGAGGCTGCCAAGAGTAACTAATGAACTCTGTTTCCCAAATGTTTCAGAATGGTGGCCTAGCTACTATTAGGATATGTAACTTTTGTACTGCAAGAGGTTAGATACAGATTTATTGTTGGAGTATTGCAGACCTATTGGACACTAATCAAACTTTTTTTCCCCCAAATGCCTGTCTGTCACCTGCCACATGCATTTGTAGTTTTTTTTCCCCTGCATTGTTAATTATTTTCACGTGAAGTTCCATCTTAACATTCACAGGACTACCTCATTATTCTCAAACTGCTCTTTTTTTGTGGTGCCTGTGACAAACTCTACAGCTATTAAATCACTCCTTGTTAAGATTGTTGCCTATTATAGGGATACACTTGTTCGGTGTAAAGCCCTTTTTGGGTGTATTCCAATCATAACAGTATCACTGCTGTATCCGTTTGGTGTGACAATGGCCAATACCAGAAATTCCAAAGGAAAGTGTACAGCATTATTATGTTCCACCTGCCTTAGGGAAAAATGTGAGAACATAACCATTGCTGTTCATAGTTTAGTAATATTTGGATGCCTTTATTGTTCCCACCTCTTAATGGTGTTCTTGCCAACGTCACAATATGTGTAATGCCTCTCGTTCAATTTTCAGTTATTTTTTGCACTCATCTTTGAATGTCTTCCATTTCTGATGTATCTACTTTTGAGACTAGATGGCCAAAATGGAATACAATATACCAAGTGAGGGTATCCTATTGATTTGTACAGTAGCTTTGCAGTTGTGCCGATTTTTTCTGTCTTATTATATCCACACCTGATGTTTTGTCTGCTGCTTTAGCTACTGCTGCTTGCACGAACCACTTGTTTAATCAATGAAACAGAGAGTTGTGGGTGTTTTTTTAATTTTTGCTATTTATGTAGAAGCCAACAAAATGTACAAATAGATCAAATTATTCCTGATAATTTGCATTTATTTGTATTTAGGAGCAGTGAATTCAGTTTTTCTGTCTGTTTTTCATTATACCTTTTTCATTCATCCTGCTGGTTTCATTCATCATTTTTCTACTTGTTTTAAGTTCTGATTGAGTTCAACGTCATCTTCAGTCTCAGCTAACCTAAATAATTTTGTGTTTTCTACAAATTTTCCTGCTTGACCATGCCCCTTCTTTTCCACATCATTTATAAACAATTATGAAGATACAGATCAGGACTCACGTCACGTTGGACACTGACCAACTATTGCCAGCATACCTTTTTTCCATAGTCTCTTATAAATAATGAAAAATGTTATTTCTCTGTTCCTGACAACCTTTTGCATTTGCATTTCTAGCCACTTTTAAGAGATGGCATCAAAGGCTTTTTGAAACACGAAATAAATTCTGTGAACTACTTTTCTTCAGCAGGTATATCACAAACATACTACAAAAATCAGTAAGATAAAGTAAATCAGAGAGGTTTTCTTTTAAGGACACTGGTTAAATTATTCAGCACAGTGGGATGCCAGTTGTGATTTTCAGTTATCACTTAAGATAATTGATTCAAGAAGCTTACTGGTGCTGGCATATACTTGTGCTGGCTTACTAGTGCTTTTATTGTGTTGCTCTTTAATTTATCAGTATTTATTGGCAGTTCATCTCTTTACAATCATTCTGTGAGACTATCCTTACTAAAAAGTTACAAATTAAAAGTACTATGTAAAAATCCAAATTCTGTTGTTATTGTTGCTGGCAGAGCATGACCGTATTCTGCAGTAAAGTTTGATGTAATGAAATAAATTGACTTCCCTAAAAGATCTTTCTCTTCAGCTACGCTTGCTATGTAATAGTTCAGCTGGACCTCTGGTTCACCTGCAGCTTTGATTCTGTTATTTGTCTACTAAGCATTGTAGTAATGCATTGTTCTGTTGACTCTCTTGAACTTCCTTTATTTTTTTCCCCTTTAAAAAAAAAGAGGCCTGACTGACTTCAATAGCTGCTTGGATTCTGTCATTTCACCACAATGGGCTTTTTCTGTCCTTCTCTGCTCTTGCTGAAGGCTATACATGTCTTCTTTTTTGGGGTAGAATTACACAAGCCATCTCCATATGGAGGCTAATGATTGTATTATTCTCATGACTGATCTTAGTGAGTTTAGATTACCTTCTTTTTTGTTCAAAGAATCTCTTTTCTAAAATTGACCTTTACCACCTTGAAGTGAATATTCCCTAAGATAATAAAATAAACTATATATCGTTACAGTTGTTTTCATTTTGAAGAGAAGTTCTCAATTGACTGTGAAGTCCCGTTTTTTTGTGTATTTTTCCATCCATGGGGTGACATGTGTCAGATTAATTGGAGGTTGTTCTTTCCTGGGTTCTATTTGCTTAATAAGATATCAAGTTCATTAAACCAGCATAAATTTCTTACAGTATTTTTTTCCATCATAAGTATTTGCTATTATGTGTCAACTGAAATCACAGTTTTTTAGGTTAGACTTGAAGGAGTCTTTATGCTGTGTAATTTCAATATTTGGATTGTTTGTATGCTGAACCAGACACCTTGTGCATCTCTAGAAAAGGTAGGTTTATAAATTTAGACATAAAGCTTCTCTCCACATAATATAGGAACTCTTAGATCTTGTGGTTGTGGAACATGAAATATGCACAGTTGGTTGGAGTGAAAAAAGGTGGCTGAATGTAGGCTGAAAGGACAAAATAACTTGGAATCTCATGATGCATGGATTTTGGGATTGGAAACTGTTGCAGGAAGACTATATGGAGACTACAGAAATATTTACATATGCTGTGGAGACATAGCTACTGTGGTTGATGTCTTATTTCTAGGGTTTTTTTTTTTCCCTCAGATGCTGCTACAAAAATTTGGAGGACTTGGGTCTTGAATTATCATTTCCTGAGACCAACAGCTCCTTGATTCTAGTGAAGAAAGTGCCACTGTGTTTTATAGAAAGAGAAGCCAATGAACTACGACGGAAAAGACAACCTGTCACTAAAAGCATTGTGGAGGTCAGCTGTGGATATGGGTGAAAGTGTGATACTGGGTCTTGTTCTGTGTCAGTAGCCCAGGGTATTAGAGTATCTCTGTTATGAGGGAGACAGTGAAGTCCCTTGGCAAATGTGGGTCCCATGCCTTTTAGTAGCTAAGTAGTCCCACAACTGAAATCCCTGAATTATAACAGAAACAATAGGAGACTGTTTCAGGCTTGGACTAGTGGATAGGCAAATAGTATATAGTGCAGATGTTTCAACAGTTTACTTCTCATGAGTGCTTGAATGAACAGTAAATGCTTGAATGAACAGTAAAATTATTAACATTGCTGATACAGGAATATTATTTGTAAGGATTTAAAGTGGGTTTCATGAAATCTCTACATGGGCAGTGCAGCTTTCTAAAAGCTGCTGTTCCAGATGTTCTGCAGTTTGAGGAAGAAATTGCTGAACTGATTACCTGCGGTTTCCATGGTAAAGAATTCTCCACAATTGTAACTGCTTCAAGGGGGCTTGTGGAGTCTCCTTCTCTGGAGATGAAATTCAAGGCTTGCCTGGATGATGACCTGTGCAACCTGCTCTAGGTGAACCTGCTTTAGCAGGAGGGTTGGACTAGATGATCTCCCGAGGTCCCTTCCAACCCTTGCCATTCTGTGATTCTATGACTCCTTAAAAATTGTTTCTGGAGTACCGTATCCAGCCACTAGGCTGAGCCATTGTGAATCAGTCCAGTCTTGCCATACATCTCTCTTGATATGAAAAGAAGAAACAGAGAAGATGATTCATCTGCTTAATCTTTCTTTTCCAACCTCACTATAACTGGGAGGAACTCAGAATGCATTCTCCTGGTGTGATCTGGGAGCCAAGAGTACTAAAAGTGGCAGAGGAGGGGATCAGGTCTGTGCCTCATAAGCATTCATTCTTAGATGACGCCTCAAGATATCATGACTGTTTTGGCAGACCTATTCTGCAGTCTTTTTATTGTAATTAGGACTGGTAGCACCTATTCATTATGATTATGAATTCATTGCATTTTAGACATCAGAAATGAAATCCACGTGGACTATCATCCAAAGAAGAAAGGGCAGCTAGTCAAAGATAACATGCATTCATTGCACTCTGAGGTCTAAGAGTTCTGTTATACCCGTTCTACAGATAAGAAGCAGGTGCAGAGAGAAACCAAGTGATTAGTCTGAAGTCTGATAAGATACTTGTGAGAGGTCAGGACTTGCACCTAGATCTTTTGCCACTGGTCAGTGTACTAGCAACAGCATCATTTTTCCTGGTTCTGTCAGTTACACAGTAAATTATACACAGATGTGGACAAAGCAGGGAGCAACAGCAACTGATGATACTACCTTTTTCTTTCCAGGAGCTTATGCAAGAACAAGTTGAGGTGAGTTGCTGTCTGCTGCTAAAGTTGACTATAATAATTTAAAGCTTACTGCATGAACCAAAGGGAGTAAGTAAGTGTGTTAAACCTCAAATGAGAGAGGTGGGCTAGATAATCCACTAGCTTTTCCTCATTTTTAGTTTCCTTTGTATTACAGTTCTTCCTCTTTCTCATATTAAATGGAAAGTAAGATGATGTTCCCTTACTACTTTTAGCTAGTGCAGACCACAGGAGGAGGAGCACGAGGGACACTGCCTCTGACGTTTCTGAAAGTGTTAGCTTCCCAGGCCTGTCATGGTAGGGAAACTGTATTTTTCTTTCATTCTTTCTTTCTGGTTTTTTTTTTAACCTTTCTGTCTCTACACAACATCCTCCCTGGGGCAGTGGTTTCAGAATGTGTTTGCAGGAATCCCAGGATTACAGACTGTGTGTTTCATAGGGATGAGGAGATAATGGGCTTTTCATGGACAGCACTGTGAGGGACAAGCAATACTGCTCCGATTTATTCATGCATGGGCCTAATGTACGTTCCAGCCCTCACATGAAACACAGATAGAGTACAGTTCTGAGATGCACTCATCCGTGTGAGCTCTAAACCATTAAATAGCATCTCTGTGAAGGGGCAGGGAGGTGCTGGAATCTGCTTGAAAGCAAGCAGGGAAG